GGAGGAGCCCCAACTTAATTTTGATGTTAGATCGGTATGTTATTGTAATGGCCCTTTGTGTCTAGTAATTTTTTTTTATTGAATTATAAATGTAATCTCATAATTTCTCAACAAAATAAAAGTTGATATAGACGGTACTTCCAACCTGGGGCGGCTATGAAATTTTAGAGGCCTTGTACAAAATTAGTAATAAGGCCTCATAAAAAGGCTTGAACAAAAACATATAAAAAGAATTGGACAATATATATTGATACCATATTTAAAACTACTCATCAATATCGAGTTTTTTTTCAGTCGTGCCTCTAGATTTTGTTTAGATTTGGCATAGTTCTCTTTCTATAAAGATCTGTTTTAGATATGTGGATATATCTCACTGTCATGAATGTTTTTTTTTTTTTGGTGAGGATTAGGGTTTTAACTTTTGAGACGAGAAGCCTTGGTGGAGAATTACAGAGGTTTGGTGCTTAGGTCCTGGTTTATGTGAGATAGTACTCTGGTGTGTGGTTGAGCATCAAGTGGTAGCTAAGTGGTTATGCCATTTCTCTTGGATGTTTTCTTCCTCTCGAGTCCTTGCCAACTTAGCGTCTTGGGTTCCGATTAGGCATCGCTTCTGAAGGGTATGATTGCTCTATTCTCCTCATGGTTTGGCTTCTAAGGTCATCTCCAGTCATAGGGCTAAATGTAGTACAGGGCTAAATATTTAGCCCTCCAAAATATTAATTTTTTAAAGAATAGTGCATTGCTAAATTTTTCATCTCCAGCCATGCAAGGCTATATTTTAGGGTCCTTTATATTTTATTATTTTGAGAAAAACTATGGTACAACACTCATGCATTCCACAACTATGTATTGTTTAATTTAATTAAACTACTATTTAGAGACAGTATTCCATGACCAATAATTTTAAATTTTTTTTTTAAACAACACTTGAAAACATTTATAAAGGTGGCCACATTTATTTACACACAAAAAAAAGAAAAAAGAAGAAGATGGGTTTCAATGGTCTGACCTCCAACGATCATGGCCAGTAATTTTTTATAATTTTTTTTACAAATTGAAAACATTTAAAAAGGTGACCACATTTAAAATAAAATAAAAATGGTTGGGTTTCAATAGTCCGACCTCCAATGATCATGACCAATAATTTTTTTATAAATTTTTCTTAAACAACACAAATTGAAAACATTTAAAAAGGCTTTTAAAAATATATCGATGACATCAGCGCTTTTATTGTTGGCTGTTTGATATGCATTTGCACGAGATGATTCGTGCTCTTGCCCACACTTGATAATTTATCTTCTTCAAAAGCACATACATATGACCCACAAAAAATTTGGCCTAGGCCAAAGCTGGGCTAAATGTGACCCAGTTGGAGGGCTTAAGCTAAATGTGGCCCTCCAAATTTGGCCAAAATTTTGTTTAGCCCATGGCTGGAGATGGATTTTGCATTATTTTAGGGCTGGAGATGGTCTAATCAGCTAGTTTATTGGTCCTTTTTTTGGCTCATTGTTCTGGCCTTGTGTTGCTTGTTGTGTATTCATTTTTTGGCTTTGACCCTCCCTGTTTCCAGGTTTTTTCTTTTGGTCATTTCCCTGTAAATGGGCATATCAATAAAATTTTACTTTTATTCTTAAAAAAAATTGTAAAGAATCTGTACTCCTTAAGAAGACCATGGTGTTTGAATTTGTATTAGGCCTGGCAATGATTTCTGTCGTGTCATGTCAAGATAACAAATGTGTCAAGAATGCTACACCCAAACCCGACCTATTTAATAAGCGTCTCGTGTTGAGTTCAGGTCATGTTAAATAGGTTATTAAACAAGTTAACTTGTCAATAACCTGTTTAACAAATTATCATAATCGCTATATTTGATATCTTATTATAATAAAATAAGAATGTTTTCTAAAGCCTTGGAATAAATTGACTTGAATTGATTGCATTCCTCTAGTTTATATTCTCCCATAAGTGTGGTAGCAACTAATATTTTTCAATTGTTTTGTCAATAAGTGGTAGCATAGAAAGTTGAAACGGTAGACAAAGAAAGTTTATTATGTTTTTTTTTCTTTTCAGAATCACTTGCATAATTGGGTATTGGGTAAAAATTAAAAAGAAAGGATAACTTGCATGGCCCATACAAAAAATTACTTGCATAATTGAGTATTGGGCAATAAGTAAAAACAAATTTGAAAAAAAAAACAACAAAACCCACATCTCAAATTCACAAGGTCATCAAAAAACAAATAAAAAATCTTAATTTTGATAATTTAATAAAGTAATTGTTGTTTGAAATTTATTTTTTATTTTTATAAAAAAAAATAGTGATCACATGTTACCACTATGTATGTATAAAGATTGAGAAAAAGAAATTTTAAAATTTTAAAATTTTAAAAAATTGGGAAAAATGAAGAAGATGAAGAAGAAACAAAGAAACAGGTTATGGATATTACACGGGTTGACACAACCCATTTAATAAACGGGTTTCATAAATATTTTAGTGGGTTTCATAATTACTTGCATAATCCACCCATGAGCATCTCCATCGGTGCCCCCCTAGTCCGGGCAACAGGGGGCCTAGCCCCAATTTGTAGTTCCAAAGGGCTTTTACAGCCATGGCGGCTCATGGGTCCCAGCAAACCAGGCCAGCCCAAAGGCAAGAATAGCCTGGGCTGTTGCCTGTGTTTGCTGACATCAGCGATGGCGTCAACAATCAAAAAAATCTAAAAAAATACTAAGAATTTCAGAATTTTTTTCAATAAATACTTGATCATATTCTTCATTGTCACACCAAAACTCTATACAAATTCATCTCCTCATATTTTATGTGAATAGTGGTTGCCTTTGGGTTGTAATGACAATGGGTGGAAACACCACCAACTTTTGCAAGGGTTGCCACTATTCACTTTAATAGTAACATCTCTTGCCTTGCCTTTACTATTTGCTATGGCAAATGGTTGAAAGTGCTCTTAGACCAACTCCAGCGGTAAGCCCAGCCCGAGGCTAGGGGGAAAAAAAAAAATTTTGCGTTCCAGCGGAGCAGCCCAAGCCCGGAGAGGGTGTGGGACCCACCAACCCGGGCTGGCCCTAAGGCAACTTCCGCCCGAGGTCCAAAACGTGGAGGGGTGACGTCAGCCCGACGTCAGGCTGACGTCGACACGCGGTATTCAAATTTTTTTTACCGTCGGCGCATGCAGTGCACGCGCCAACGGAAAAAAAAATTTGAACCAGCGTGCGCTGACGTCAGCGCAACGCAGCCCCAACGGCTGGAAGCCACGTGGCATGCCCCCAGCGCTCCGATTTGATTCCACAGCCTTCATCCAACGGCTGACGATTTTCCAGCAATAAAATTATGAAAAAAAAATCAAAATTTTAAAATACTAAAAAATACATTAAAATTCTGAAATTTTTTTTCCTATAAATACCTATAAATACCCTTCACTTTCAACACCAATTCTCATACATTTTATTCTACTTCTACAATTACTCAACATTTTTTTCACTCTTCACTCAACATTTTCATCTCATCCACCTGATCAGCGGATGCTCCATACGCCAACATCCGTAGAACAGCTGTAAGCTTTTGCTCCGGAAGAAGCCCCAAAACCCCAGCAGCATCACACTTTTGAACAAAGTATGCATCATAATTGTAAATATCATGCATGACTTTATTGAACAAATGGGGTTGCATTCTAAATCTCCTTCGAAAATCAACATCAGAGTACAAAGCAGTTGGGATAAAATATAATCTTCCAAAAGATTCTTACCCCGAGAATGCCTATGTCTGTCCACATTCCGGCGACGGCCGACTTGCGAACCACGGCGGCGACCTTGGTTTTCTTCCTATTCCGTTGCCACTGCTATAAGAACTTGTTCATCGACTTGTCCCTACAACTCATTGATTTCATCGGCTCTACAGTTTCTCTCCTTTCTTTTTCGCTTTTGCATCTCCAAGCATCTCCTATATTCTTCCATCGAGAATGAATGGAGTATGAATTCTAAACTCTAAGAAATGAAAATATAGAAAGATGTGGTGTGAGAGGTATGGGTGGAGGAGGTTCTGGTTTTATAGAAAAATTTGGCAAGATAGAGATGCCACGTGGCTTGATTTCATTGGATGAAAATCTTATCTGAAATTTGAAATTCATCCGAAATTTGAACCCAAATTTATCTGAATTTTGAATTTTGAAATTCATCCAAAATTTGAACCCAAAAATCTTATCCCGAAATTTTATCCGATTATGAATAGTCTTGACATGTAGGAACCTGGAAATCTTATACGAAAATATTATCCAAATTAATTATTGAGGTAAAAAAATTTGTGAATAAAACAAAAAAAGAATAGTAACTGCCCTTAGCCATGGCAACGGGTGGAAACACAAAATACTATTTGCAAGTGCAGCCACTATTCACATGAATAGTAACTGCTCTAGCTCCCCCCTTGCCATGGCTAAGAGCACTTCCACCAGTTAGCCCCTTGCCATGGCAAAGGGAGCCCTAGGGCAGTTACTATTTATGTGAATAGTGGCTGCCCTAGCTCCCCCCAGCAAATGTGTGTTTCCAGCAGTTAGCCCCTTGCCATAGTAAATACTATTCATTTTTTTGTTTTTTTTCATTTTTTCACAATTTTGTTTATTTAAACAATTAATTTGGATAATATTTTCGGATAAGATTTTTGGGTTCCTACGTGTCAATACTATTCATATCGGATAAGATTTTCGGTTTCAAATTTCAGATAAATTCAAAATTTGAATTTCAGATACATTTCAAAATTCAAATTCCAGATAAATTTTCAATTCCAAATTTCATTTGAATTTCAAATTTTAGATAATATTTTCATTCTCTAAAATTGCGCCACGTGTCATCTCTATCTGTCTAAATTTTTCTATAAAACCAGAGGCTCAGCTCATATCTGCCACACCATATATTCTCTACATGTTCATTTCTCATATTTTAGATTTCATTTCTCAGATTTTAGATTTCATTCTCCATTCTCAATGTCAGACATGGAAGATGTTTTGGATAGGCAAGAGCTAGAAAGGCGAGCAAGAATGTGCAGAAGAGCTGCAAGCAAAAAGGCGCAGAGAGAACTAGATGAGCAACTTGGTGTGGCCGTTGCTATGCAGGAGGAAGAAAACCAGAGCCGCCGTGGTTCACGAGGAGGTCAGGCATCGAATGTGGATAGACATAGACATTGTCGGGGTAAGAATCTTCTGGAAGATTATTTTATCCCACAATCTTTGTACTCTGATGTTCATTTTCGAGCAAGATATAGAATGCAACCTCATTTGTTCAATAAAGTCATGCATGATATTTGCAATTATGATGACTACTTTGTTCAAAAGAAAAATTGTGCTGGAGATTTGAGGCTGCTTCCTTAGCAAAAGTTCACAGCTGTAATACGAATGTTGGCGTATGGGTCATCTGCTAATCAGGTGGATGAGATTGCCCGGATGGGAAAGTCCACTATTTTGGAGAGCTTGGTGCGATTTTGTGATGCAGTGGAAAATCTGTACACCAGGGACTATCTACGCAGACCTACGCCCAGGGACCTGCAACGGCTTTTACAAAAAGCTGAGTCTCGTGGATTTCCTGGAATGATTGATAGCATTGACTGCAAGCACTGGCAATGAAAAAATTATCCATCTGCTTGGCAAGGGGATTATGGTAATCGGAAAGGGCAGAAAAGCATCATCCTCGAAGCAGTTGTTGGTTTTGATACCTGGGTTTGGCACGCCTTCTTTGGAGTTGCCGGCTCTCAAAATGATTTGAACGTCTTGGGTCAATCCCCGGTGTTCAATGATATTTTGAGAGGTGAATGCCCAAATATCACATATCAAGTCAATAATACCGTCTATCAAAACGGGTATTATATAGCTAATAGTATCTACCCGAGATGGACAACATTTGTGAAATCAATTCCACATCCCCGATCCCAGAAGGAAATTTTTTTTGCTGCCTATCAAGAAGGGTACAGAAAAGATATGGAGATATGCTTTGGTATCCTTCAAGCTCGGTGGGCTATTATCAGGGGCGCGGCGCGTCTATTTGACGAGGAGGTGCTCAGAAGTATAATGATAACTTGTATTATCCTCCACAACATGATTGTGGGAGATGAGTATAATTACGATGTTGAGGAAGTGTATGAACCAGATCCCATGAACACGACCTTAACACGAATTTATGAAAAACCTATGGGGCCAAATGGAGAACCAGTGGAGCATGATCCGTTGGTTAGAGACGGTACTTTCATGCATCGTATGATTGAGCGCTACACAGAGATGCAATCGTCGTATATTCACGAACACCGTCAAGTTGACTTGATGGAACATTTGTGGGCGGTGAAAGGCAATGAAGGTCAATGAAGTCAAGTGAAGATGTTTTTTTAGTGCATTATGTTTATGTTGT